GTATTAGAGAACTGAGGATCGAGTATTGAGACAGAAGCCAAGTGATACTACAACTGATAACTGTAAAGAGTGTAAGAATGAGTATCCAATAAAGATTCGCTAAATCCGAGACCCACGTGAAGTTATTTGTCGCGTGACATACCCAACACGTGACAATATATTGAGGTAATATTTTTCTCATTAAATGGCACTGGGTATGTGTGTCTGATTATAAACGCTATGTGTTATAGTATTATGAAATTTTACTAATATATTGTAAAGTTAAAAAATGAAGTTGCCCTTGTGCCTAATTAATTAAGCGCCATGTATTGAAGACATGTCTCCATACAACACACAGAAAAGTGAACCAAGATGGCCAATAATAAATGCGAAATATTAAAAAAAAACGCCATTCTGGTGTGTGTGCTGAGTATAGGGCAGGATAAATACTAAAACTTAGAATTCCATGCTCAACAGTAGAAATGTATCAAAATGTCCCGTAAATGATCATGCAATACATAAACTGACATAAAGCCTGGAGCTATTTTCTAGCACTGTAAGAGGAGAAGAGACTGTGCTTTATCCGCCCACAGAAGACAGCTTTGCTGTTTGCACAATGACACGGAAATGGCACACGTTCGTAATACAAGAAATTAGCAGAAGGAACACAAACACACACACACACACACTTCTATTGCTTCCATGTTAACTTATTACAGATTATATTTAGCCTATTTTCCTTATTTTGGGAAAATAAAGGTAGGCTTTTGCGGTTACCATGCTGTGTGTCTCTGAACCCCCCTTATTAACTTCTGAATGCCTGAACCAGTTTTTATGAAACTTAGTAAGTACGAGTATATATCATGACTAGGGACCGGATTTTAATGCAAATGCATATGTTAATGCAAATGCATATGTCTTTCTTGCAACCAGAAAGTATGCTCGTTTGAATATATGTATGAATTACTTCATTTCTTAAATTTTGGACATGGTTTGATGGTGCATATAAATGCATATTGTAACGTGTTTTGCTACTGAAGACTCCGTTCAGATTGTTAATTGGTTTACTTAACAACCTACAAGTCTTGGTTACAATTAATTATAACACTGTTACGGATTTACACACTTTACAAACCCTACACAATATTCTATTCACTCTATCTTCAGTAGTCTTCACGTATTAATTACGTGGGAGCTGTAAAAGTGTCACTGTATTACACACTCCCAAATACTTCTCTTGTGAGCCAAGCATCTGCTGCTCACACTATCACTTCTAATCACACGTTCCGGTATTCTGCTTTCCACTACAACTGAACTCTGCGACTGTTCCAATTCAACTGTCTCCGGCGACGGCTACATTTCAACTGTGTCACTCCTGATCACACACTACTGACTCACTGCTAACTACTACTAACTCTGAATAGTGTTCGCCGCTCCTTATTTAGCCTCGGCACGGACAACACAGAAAACAGCCAAGTACCGCTGTTTAGTACCGTCATGTTTACCGATTTCCTAGCAACAATCATTGCACGGCTCGTCTGTTGCGTGACGTCATGTTTACCGCCTGCCTAGCAACACTGTCGAGAGTTGTTTACTGCTCTGTAGCAACCCCTGCATCCCTTGGTAATGTCACCTCGGAAGGGGGCGGGGTGTTGACTGTAGGCTACTCGGAACGAGCAGCATTAAGGAGGGATCAATGTGACATGTAGACCCATTGCCGAGTAAGAGCTGTGTAAACAGGTGACAGTACAACAGCCGTTTTTAGGGAACAGCTCTGTGGACACGTTTCCGTGGCAGTGAGAGAATACGCAGTAGTGGAAGAGACTTGTGTGCGGTCTGTGCCGGTTATGTATAACGAGGGCAAGTATTTCAACTATATTAGGCTTCAACATGGCGGTGGTCAGGTTTACGTCCGTTCAAGTTACGAAGCTGCCGTTTTGTCATAATATACGTAAGATAGGCGTGATCGGCTTTGCAAAACTTGGACTGACAGACGACTTGTACATAGTGCAAAAGGAAGAATTTTCAGTAACATGCTATAAGTGCGGTACGTACACTTGACGAAACGTGAAGCATGTTCATAAGAGATAAACCCATCCTGTCATGAGAGAGGATGTTACGTAAGGACTATTATCGCAAGAGTTCAGTTGAAAAGAAAAACTCTGGTCGTGTGCATCAAGGGGCTTGGCACCAAGACGAACTGATTGGCGGTAAACCGCCAGTCTTAAAGCAAATTTGATTTGTTAGGTGAACGTGAGTCTGAATGCTCCCAGAGCCGTCAAGACGGTAAAGTGTGGTCATGGGTTCCGCGGAGCTCGGAACCAGGAATCCCTGTATTGGAGAGAGCCAGCAGCAGTTTAGCAGTCAGCCAGTTGTTAGTCGAGTCGGTTGGGAGTTAACTCAGTGAGACTGTTACAGTTATTTGTAGTCACGAGTTGTACACGTATAACGAGTCCAGTAGATCTGATTACAAATCCAGACTTCGTCTGTAGTCACACGTACCACGTGACAATATAAGTTGAAACTTTTAATTGTCCTTTTGTGTACAGACAGCAGTTAGCTTGAATCTTAGTTGATGGCGAGGCTTTGGACTGACTATTTTATTTTTTGTTTCTGTAGGGAGTCGGTATAGCGACGGGTTACGGGTTTGACGGCCAGGTTTCGATTTCCGGCGCGGCAAATTTTTCCCTTCTCCACAGCGTCCAGACCGAATCTAGGGTCCGCCGAGCCTCCTACCCAATTGGTACAGGGGGCTCTTACCCCGGAGAAAAAGGTGCGTGAAGCGTTTTTTTTTTATACTGAACCTCCTCGTCTATGAGAACAGAGGTTTTGTCTTTTTAAGTAGGTGTCCACGTATTTCACCATCATCCTGGAGTTACCTTACTCCTACAGCTACGAAGGGGGGGAATACATACATTACGTACTCCGTCCTCTCTGTGACTGTACAGGCCTTTGGACCTTGACCGCTTTTTCGGTTTCTTAATCTCTTCCACAGTCGATAGGACTTATTGGACGGGGGATCAGCCCGTGGCAAAGCCGCTGCCTCCACAGAGAATAAACGCCCACAGACATCCATTCCTCCAGTGGGATTCGAACCTACGACCCCAATGTTTGAGCGGTCGAAGACAGCTCATGCCTTAAACCACGCGACCACTGTGATCTGCCATACATTGTATACACTGTACACAAATTTACACTATATTCTAATATATACAGCGACCTATGTCAATGTAGGCTTGTACAGCGGGTTATGCGTTAACTTATTTAACCCCCCGAAACGGCAGTTGACCGCTGCCAAGTTTAAGCCTCTTGTATTTTACATGCGTGGCTTCTGGTTGCCTCCATTGCACGTATATTTGAGAGCCACAATTCTGCCTCGTCTGCTAATGTCGACTTGCCGTAGGATGAATGGTGAGTAATGAATTGGAAATGATGTCACATGATCTAATTTAAGGTACTATCCCAGAACTTGAAATGAAGAAGCGAGGAAAACCACAAGAAACTTCTGCCAGAATAACCGGTATCTTTGCACAGGTTTGAAGCATGCACTTCCGGAATACTAGTCAGAAGCGTTGAAGTTTCAGACAGCCTTATCAGTGCCATTCTTTTTAAAGCGAGAGCGTCTATCTGAGCCACTGTTTGTTTCTCAAGTCATTCTCTGCTCCAGGGAGTAACTTGGTTACGTCTGCAAGTGGCGGGACATAGACATCGGGACAAGGAGGCGAGTGAAATACGAGCACTTCAAACGACTTGCTGTTCCACGTGTACTGACGCAATGCCCGCCTTCCCTCTTGTTCTGCTCCATGTATGCACAGCATAATCCTTATTCCCACGCTGAGCCGCACAGTTTTTTATTACATTATGTAGTATCTAAAACTTCAAAGAAGAAATAACACCTAAATTAAGAAATTAAAGTTTCCTCTTGTATTAAAACAACCGGGGAATGGGGATTCGAATCACACCCAGAAACTACGCAATAGTTGCAGACCTCTGTAATAGTCGAGACTGCCGTACGTATTGACAACAATGCGGAGAAAAGTTCACATCTTTGCGTGTTCTCTGTTAGGTCCGCTGTACACATGCAGACAGGAGACTAGTGTAAAGTAACATTTTTAGGTACGTTCAAATCCCTGCAAAGTGTCAAAATATCTCCGGCCGTTCGTCAGCCTGTCTGTTTGCGTTAAACAACTCGAAAGCCACTGAACTACTTCCATGAAATGTGATATTTGGGAGTTTTGCTAACATCTGTTGGTATATTCACATTTAAAAATTTCACAGCTGTGTATGATTTTAGGTTTTCACAATGGTGGTTGTGAAGAGTACTATCTTCTGGAATATAACGCCTTATAGTCCTTTAAAAGTCAACCGACAGTTCGGAGGAACATCGCCTCCATCTTCAGGGTCGAAGAATAAGCCAAGCAGAAACTAGCCTGAAAGCAGGTGCCAAGCAGAGCAAGATTTTACGCTCATTTCTTGTTTGTCTTATTCGTCAACCCTGAAGGTGGTTCCGAACCGTTGGTTGACTTTCAACGGAAAACACGGCTTTATATCCCAGGAGATAGTACTCTTCGTTTCAAAATAAAAGGTAAAGCTATCCCTGTAACAGGCCGTGGAGATCCATAGAATCCTACATTTTCTAGACAGTCGGCTCACAGATGGCGGCCTTACACGTCGGCCGCCCTTTACCCCCAGGAAGATTCCTGGTACTCATTTCTGTTAGAGGCTGATTCGACACCAGGGTCATAGTGCGGCTGGAAGGATTAAGTAAATTAAAAAATCCAGTGACCTCGTCAAGAATCGAACCCCCGATCTTCTGGCTTGTACCATGTGAGCCTCGACGTCTCACAGCCGTATGGTTCTCCACGGCCTGTTACAAGGATAACTTTACCTTTCAAAACTAAGTATCAACAATAAGTGTGATGCTGTGGCATATTGTAATCATATTTACAAGTGTAATAAACGGTATAAAGCGAAATTCTTCAGAAGTCTGATGGTGAGTGTTTGATCCATTTGTTTTACAGCCACTCCGATTGTCCCAAACGAGAAGGGACAGGGCGTATCGAACGATGGTTCTCGTCACTGTAACAGGGCAGCAACGAATTGTAACAAAGGGATCTCTTTTTTCCTTCACCGTCCGATCTGCCTGGGAACTCTGGTTGTCGCCCTGCTGCTGCTGCTGGTAATCCTAATAAGTGCCACCGTTCACTTCTCGTCCAGGAATGAAGACGATCTTCCAAAAAACACCTTTTATCCACCTCCAAATGGTAAAGTCAAATATAGGTGTCTTCATGAGCACAGAATAGTCTTCAGCTTTACTCACATTGCAAGGCTGCCCCTCAATTTCAGAAACGTCCAGAGTTCGATAAACTCATTTCCCGTTTTTCATTCGTTTTCTGAAATGGGTAAAGAAATATGTTGTATGACTTCAGCGTTTGGGAGTATCCCACGTAGAAAGTTGTAGGTTTTCCTTTGCGTAGATCTCGCACTGAGTTTTGAACCGCAGGTGAAATCATGATTGGACGAGAGGATAGCGCAGTCGGTATAGTGACTGGCTATGGCTGGACGACCGAGGGGTCGGAGTTCCAGTCCCGGTAGGGTCAAGAATTTTCTCTTGTTCACGTCATCCAGACCGGCTCTGAGGTCCACCCAACCTTCTATCCAATGGGTACCGGGGCCTTTTTCCCCGGGGTAAAGCGGCCGGGGCTTGAATTTGACCACACCTCCAGCTTGTGTCAAGGTCAAGAAAATGTGGATCTATACATTCACTCTCCCGCGCGCCTTCATGACATAGTGCTTTATTAGTTAAGCACAGGGACAACTTTACCTTTTTTTACCCGAGACAGAGGAGCAGGCCACGGGAGTGGCCAATTGGTTCTTGAAATTAGGTATAGAAAAATGTTATGGCAACCACGTCGTCTTGAAAAGAGTCAATGAAAAATGTTTTATTGGTCCAGTGTTCAAGAAACCTAAGAACAAGAAATTATACTGTACTTATAACTAGAAATTCCTACTTAAGTTCTTCTGATTGTATGTTGACTAACCTCGAGAATTCTATATGGGTTACAGATCCAGAACCGGATCCTAATACAACTCTACCAGGAGGTCACCATATATACTCTAAAACAGATTGGAATGGTGCGCCAGCAAAATATGAAAGACGGCTTCAGCTTCCGACTCCATACGTTGTCATCTCCCACACCGCTTCAGAAGCGTGCTTCAGTTATACTGTGTGTGCAGCTAAAATGAGAAACTTCCAAGATTTACACATCGGAGGTGATCTCAACCTTCCAGATATTGGCTATAGCTTCGTGGTTGGTGGGGATGGAAATGTATATGAGGGGAGAGGGTGGGACGTCACAAATATGCATACTGGATTTGTGACACGCTGTAATATTGGAATATCTTTTATTGGTAATTTTATTCGTGATACGCCAACGAATGGTCAGATAGAAGCAGTACAGGAACTTATTAAGCTTGGTGTGAAAATGGGAAAGATTGACGAAAAGTATAAACTGGTAGCGATGAATGAGACATATAATACATTGAGCCCTGGAGTGGTTTTGTACGCTATAATTTCAAAATGGCCTCATTTCTGGAAACCTACGCGTGAAGATATAGGAATGTGCCCATTTCGTGTATAGTTTTGCAGCTTCGTTTAAATTGTGAGAGATTATGATTTCATTCACTTACTCCTTATGATCTCCATTGAGAGAGTTGGCATTGTTCGTTGTAAATACATATTCATGATTATGCATCTTCAGCTGCAATTTTTCAAGATTAGAGCATAGACTCTTGAAATTTCAGGTTCTCGCAGTGCTGAATATTAAGGCGCGTCCACATTAATCGTGCTCGTGTGACTCGCTATGCTCGCGAGTAATGTGGACGATATGACGAGTCACCAGACAAGCAAATTTTAAATTTTTAATTTAAAAACTATAGCCAATAAATTAAAATACGACTACAGCCTATATACACTACGAGTAAATATACGGATCCTCACGCGCTGAAGCCTGGCGAGCAACTGAAGTAGTGTGGACGAATATTTACGAGCACAAGTAAAAGCCAGACGAGTCTCCCCACGAGCACGAGTAATGTGGACGCGCCTTAAAAGTTATGATCTTCTGTAATGTATTTACAAATTGTGTGGTAGGCAAGTAACAGTGATTCAAATGAACATAGTGCATCCTGAGGTTCGAAGCAGCAGGTACTTCCAAGTGGTACCCATCTACACTGCGTCATATCCAAGAAGATTTATCTTATCATTGACTCAGTTCTGCAGTTGGACTGTGATATAATCAAGTCACTCATCATTCTTTCTGTCAGGGAAGAACATTTCATAATGTATTCAGGATCCTCTTTCATTTGGTATCATTTTTAGATCTTAAGTATGCCGCCTATAATGCAACAAAGTCAACCTTTTATAAAAGACACAAAAATATATTTAATGCACTAAATAGTTTAAATGTTATTAACTATATACAGTAAAACTTGCTTATAGCAACATCGGTTTCTGCGACACCTTGTCTACTGCGTCAAATATTCAATGGTATGAACTAATTCCTCATAAAGCTACTGTTTTATACCTTGCTTAGTACGACATGCACAAATGCATCAACCTCGTATGTAACGTCATTTTCATTCCTGAATTTCTCTGATATCGTGGGAAAGTTCGAGGTGTCTGCCCACCCTCACTTTCTCTACTTGCTGACGTGAATGTCCTGGAAGAATACGACCGCGGGCTGCAAGAGGAGCGTGGGTTTTATGCGAAAACAAGGGTGTGGGGTGGGACTGCGTGAATAGTGCAAGAGGACGCGGCAGGTTGTTAACTGCATTCCTTTCCTAGAATCTCGTCTAACATGACCTCACATTGTCTACTTACCCTATAGTGTTCCTGCTTAAACCCAGAGAAGTGCAGTAGCGAAAACATGGCAACGAAAAGGAAAGTTTTAACCATTGAAGAGAAAGTTAAAGTGATTCGTTGAAATATTGTGTGTATTGTCAGTGAAAAGCGCTGTAATATGTCTTTGATATTACACATTTGGGCAATTCCACGTTAATGTTACGTTAGTCTGTACTTAACTATATATTTCACTAAAAAATGCAACATTTTAACTCGGTTTTTGGTAGATTCTTACGTGACTAATATAAGGCTACTGTGGAAGTGCCCATTTCGGTTACAACGACATTCGTTTATAACGACACTATTTTTAGGTCCCTTTGATGACGTTGTAACCAAGTTCTACTGTACATTCATTTCTAATTGTTACATGTTTCGGCCACACACGTAGGCCATCACCAGGTAACACTTATAGGGGAGACCACTGCGCTGCTCATTTTATCTTGTGTGCCCTTAGGCACATCGTTGTTTTTGTTGTTAATTTTTTTCGTAGGATACTTGCATCGTATCTGTTTGGCGGCTATTTCAGTCATTTTTATGTCGTTTACTTTCGTTGTGTATGTTTTAGTGTTGTCTCCCCAGTAATAAGTGTTGCCTAATGTCCCATGTGTGGCCGAAACATGTAGCAACAAGACGTGAATGTGTATAGTTGATGATATTTAAAATATTTAACAAACACTTTTAGTGTAATTTATAAAAGGTTAGACTTTGTTGCATTATAGAGGGAATAATTATGATCTAAACATAAAAAAGAAATTTATGTCTAATTCTGCATAATGATTATTCATATAAACAAGATACACATTCTCGTAAAGCTTAGTTATAAAGACTCTGACACACGGTGCTTTGGATTGGAGGGGAGCAACCAGGCATTTGCCCCAGAATTAAAAAAAATGAATATATACAAAGTATTGGTACCAAAAGTTAAAAATAAGTGCTTTGAAGAATTAAGCGCCTACTTTCCTTTCATACGACACGGACCGCATAGAAAACGACGCTTCCAACAATTCTTCCTTGCCGTGGGAACGCCTGTACCGAGTTGTTACATAGCAACGATAGGGAGATACACAGACAGACCCACAGACTCTTCTTTGATGAGATACGAACCGCATGAAAAATGACGCGTCCAACAGTTCTGTTGTTGCTTGCATTCGTTGCCTCGGGAATATATCTACCGAACCGTTGCTAGCAACAGTAGGAAGGATACACTGGCACACAGACTAAAGAGAGTGATTTACGAATTACGCCGTTGAGATGTGCTCAGGTGCCATGATATACATACCAAGATTCATAAAAACTATTTCGGACATTCAGAAGTTAATTAGAGGAGGTTCACAGACAGTATGGTGATTGCATAAGCCCAACTTTAATTGTTCAAAATAATGAATGTAGACTAAAAGTGGGAAGATCTTGACAGCATAGTTTGTTGTGTCACATAGTATGTTTCAATATGTTCTTACATGGCTTGAACATGAGTTTGTAAGCAAATGTTCTACCTAAAAAAACACATCTTCCTAATTTTCTACCTGCCTCCCCTCGGAAGAAAGTAAATTGGCGTTTCCCCTGTATTTATGGCTGGATGACTTCAAGTAGCCACTAAAGAAGTTTTCTTCGCGACGTCACCTCAGATTTCAATACTGTGACGTGATGCGCTATGCAGGACACCCCTCCCCCCGTCAGCGGTGACGTAACGCTATCGGATCGCTGTCATTACTAAGGTAACAGGCGAGTCAACACTCCTCGGTTACCCCGCCGACGGTGACGTCGCCAAGGGATACCGCGGTTGCTAGGCAGCAGTAAACAGCTCCCGACAGCGTTGCTAGCAACACGGCGCCAGACAACAGTGGTGCCTATTACGTGGCTGTTTTCTGTGTTGTCCGGAACGAGGCTAATTAAGGAGCAGCGAAAGCTATTCACAGTTAGTTACGAGTTACGGACGCGTGTGCGAGAATCAGTGATAGTTCGTGATTACCGAGTAATAATTGGGAGTGTGTGATACAGGGACACTTACATAGCTCCCGTACTGTGAATACGTGTGGACTACTGAGGACAGAGTGAACAGATTATTACGAATAGGGTTATACTCTTAAAGTGTGAACCCCCGAAACTGTGTTATAAATAATTGTAGCCGAGACTTGTAGGCTGTTAAATAAACTAATTAACAATCCGGACGGCGTCTTCAGTAACGAAACACGTTACAATACAGAAGCCAGTTTATATCATGATGAACAGAAGTAATTTAATTTAGCAGCGATGGGAGGCAATTTCTCTCGTAAAAATTATAGAGATTATCCAGAAAATGAGGTAAGTAAAAGCTGAAAAAAAGACAGCAACTTGAAAAGTAGTTCGATAACGTTAAGAAAACTGAGAGGGTGACAGATCTCAGAAGCTCGCAAGTCCTGCACTTGATAATACTTGATAATACGTAAAGTGTACTATCTCAAAAGACCAATATTTACATGCAAATCTTTACCAACTCCATAATGTACAGCACTTTATTGCTTAATAGCTGCATATTTCGACCTCGATGTGAGAATCACCAACCCATCATTGTCCACTTAGGATATACATTTTGTTTGTTTGCCGACCCTGACAGAGAATGCTCCTTTAAATATTAATAATCCGATTTAACTTTAAAAAATATAATATAATAAGTACAAACCCCATAAAAATTTACTAAGTTCATGATTACATAACCTATCCCATGTAGAGAGAATCCGATCGCTTCTACCGTTATAAAATCTAGGCCAACACGTAGCGGTTACAGAGTCTCACCACAAAAACAGAATGTTAACTTTCATGTCTTAATCTTTCGTTTTAATTTTAATCGTTATATTTCTAATTTTAAATTTTTATTATCTAAGGATTTTTCAGTTTTATCATTTTTACCAAAAGTTAATACAGGTGTTTATGCATTTCAATAATTTCAATACACAATAAGGATCCTTTTTTGAAGAATTAGATTATAATTAATTGCAATTCATCAGCTCCTACTGGAACGTTGTACGCCTGTTGATTACCCGGTATAAAAAAAAAGTAAAGCTATCCCTGTAACAGGCCGTGAAGGCCCGTAGTGTTGTGAGACGTTGAGGGTCCCACATTTTCTCTAGAAAATCGGCTCACAAATGGCAGTTAGTTAGTCAGCCTCACGCGCCGGCCGCCCTTTACCCCCTAGGAAGATTCCTGGTACTCATTTCTGTTAGAGGTAGGGTCAACCCCAGGTCCGTAGTGCGGCTGGAAAGGTTAGGTCAGTTGAAAAAATCCACCTCATCGGGACTCGCAACTTTAACAATCATTGTTACTGTTGCACATTTCATACATTAAATATAAAAATGTCATATAATACAACTTCCACCAGACCATGACCTGTTACTTCTCAGAAGATGGTGACTTTCACTATGATTTGCCTCATTGAGGAACGTTACAGAAAGCATTTCAGAGGGTGCATCAATCTTTGAGCAGGCAAGCGCATGGACGAGAAGTGGTCTCTGGTTATCATCGTACGTTGAAAATAGAACTCTGTATCCTTCTTGCGATGGATTAGAAACCTACGGCACTCTTTGACAGTGAGGACAATAAATATCTGAGACAATATAGTGACGGGCTACGAGCTGGACAGCCGGAGTTCGATTCCCGTCTGGGCGCCCACCAGTCTCCGCTCTATTGTGTACGGTGGGCTTTCACCCCGGCGGTGAAACAGCCGTGACGTGAAGTTTGCCACTAAGCTCCATCTAGCGCCGAAGTAAAAAATTGTGGAGTTGTACTTCCACAGTGCCATATGTCCTCACGGCATAGTGCTTGAATAATGGAGCGCAGGGTCAACTACAACTCTTATCATTTTGCTAGTCATTGTAATCATCCAA